TTAGTTCCACAAAAATAACCACAGATGATTAATTATTTGTTTGCATCAGTTTCTTCCAAACGTTTCTACTGCTTCGGGATTCTAAATGAAGTTCAATTATCGTGCTTATTTTAAAGTAGTCAGAACGCGATTGCAAATTATTATGGGCACAGAGAATTGTTTATGCAGCGATAAAATATGTTAAACTTACCAAATATTACCTTGTTTGATCGACACAAGTCTGCATCAAGCAAATAATGCTATGATCAGAACTCGAAATTGTTCTGGGTACATTTTACTCTCTCATATCTGTGACAAATTTCATACGACCAAATGTATGGTAGAATACTAATGGCATAGCAGCCTCTGGCGCCCATTAGCTAAGGCCAGTGTATAGCGCGGCTTCATCACCGCTCAGTTTTGACCACGTAACTGATGGCTTCAACTTGCAGTCAAATGCAGAGCATTAATCTCTCCCCGTAATCTTATTAGAATGAACACGAGCTTCTCGATGCCAGAGAGACTGCAGAACCGCTGACCGAACAGCATGCAGGTTCATTGATCTCAGATTTCCTCGAACAGTTAAACAAACTTTGATTGAAATTCGCATCCATCGGCGCGAGGTCCAGCAGACTGACAAAATTATTTCTGGAGGCTTGGTTAAAGATTCATTTATTTCTATGGATCTTATACAAAAATATTGACTAGAGAATGCAGAGAGACAGACGTCGTAGTAAATAATACATCCGGAGTCCGTTCTGCAATCGTTGCCAAAGCTACTTTGTTGACACAACAGGTCCCAGCTATCAATTAATTCTATGCTAAAATTAATTGCTTTCTAAAATGCCGATCGATTCAATGGATAATTGATTGTTGTTTGCTTCAGGAAATAAATAGTTTCATTAATTGCTGAATGGTATGCCGCACAATGGAGCTCTACGGCAGATTCACGGATGGCACCTGCGACTCCGTTTTATTGCTGGCATGACACAATAACGATGCGTCGTCTCGTGCAAGAAAACCTAGAACTCTCACAATGGAAAGTTGCTGCATGTACACTTGCTGTTGACGCAACGCAAACAGAATGATAGAACAAAAGATATCAATTCTCTACTAAAAATAATAGCTATTAGATGTCGGTGCCATTGTGTTCGACGTGTTGGGCTATCAGGCTGACGATTGGTTTCATTGTTTGTTTATTTGATATTTCCCGATCTCAGCGATTAAAAAAATAATCGATCGAATTTTATGCGAATGCGATTATTTTACTAGAATTCTAATAAAAATAATTGAATAATAAACTTCCCGATATCAGCGATCTAAAAATAATTTTGACACACAACAAAAGGAAGCATGGAAGCCCAAGAATAACAGTTAACTGCTCTCGCTGTCAAGGTCTGAAATTATGTCGTTTGTATTAATTTAGAGGCGCGACTTGTAACAAACATTGCCATTTGTGCGCCATCAGAAGAATTAATTGAAAGAAATCGTGACTGCCAGTCAGCGGCATCGTCCCGCTCTGTTTTGTGTGGGACAATTGGAACTGTAAAGGAAGCTCACAAGCAAAATCAGGCGGTCACATTGTAGGCAAATACAAGAGACGCGGTCACGTTCATATGGTAGCAGACTGACCGCGCTAAATGTCACTCATTAACGGTACTCCCCTCTTTGTAAAGCAGAAAGTTCTCACGACTTGTTGTCTTTTTGAGTATGTTTAAAAAACATTTGCTTATTAAACAGCTTTTAAATGCACCTCAACAGTTATTGAGGTTCATTTAAAGAACATTATTGACTAGAATATGGAAACAATTAATTTGGTAGCTCCATTTATAAATAGTCAGAATACCTGCGTAGAGCATCAAGAAAGAGGTTATTTATAATTGCGTACGCGGGAAAGTTTAAAATTCACAGGCATTTCCTTACCACCAATCATAACTAAGTAAATACTTGAGAGTAGCTCTGAACTCGAGAGAGTTGAGCGATTGTTTCGTCTTGAAATCTTCCTTTAATGACACCAAAACTGGTCAGGGTCGGGTAATGGGAACGGAAGTTATTTAAGCGCAGTTTTGGGGTTTAAAATAAATGTAAATGAACAGGCTTGTGTACAGAATAAGAAAAAGACTGTACAAGTTATTATATTATCAACTAATTCAGCCCGTTATATTTATGTGAAGATAATGAATGCATATGTGCAGGATTTTAAATTTATAGAATTAAATCGAATAAGATTCATTTTATCGTAACTGAAATAAAACGATTTTTTAAATTTGAAGAACAATTATAGATGTGTTTGAGTGCCGTTGGGCTGAATTTTTGATGTGCGAGTATGAAAACAACGTCGAATGTATTAAAAAATGTTACATTTTTTGATAACTACGTAAGAAACATCAATTAATGTCTGATAATACTTGATAACGGCCTCTATTATTAATTTGCTTCACTAAATGGAAAGGTCGAAACCGAACTGCGGAAAACCAAACATTGAGAGGCACGCAGGCTTCACTCAGGCTAAGAACAGAAACGGATTTGCTGAGTTCAGTTAACCGTAATTTGTGAGCAGAGTTCCGTCCTCACGATCTTATCAGGAAATTATCACGGAAATACTGGCCGAGTCGTAAATCTAACCAACCAATCGCCAGCCAGGTTACTAAGCGAACCTACCTATTGAGCGCGATGCCAGAACTTACGATCAAAAGAGAACTTACGATCAAACGAGAAATTACGATCGGCGGAGAACTTACGCTTAAACGAGAAATTACGATCGGCGGGAACTTACGACCAAACGAGAACTTACGATCAAACGAGAACTTACGCTCAACGAGGAATTTACCACAGTCATAGAAATCACGATCAACGGATTTATGATCGCCGGTGAACTCGAGAACATAGTATTGTAGAAATTCAGATCAACTGAAAATTTAAATGAACTGGAACTTAGGAACCCCGGAGAACTTATGATCAACGGGAATTGAGATTAATTGAAAAGAAAACATAAGATAACCGGAGGACTTTCGATCATGGTTGGAGGTATGCGATTAAAATAACAGCGGCGACTCATGTAGCATTGAGGGTAATATGTATCATTAAGTAGCATCATCCCTAAGTCAGTTACTGAATCAATGAGATATCTAATGCACACAAAATTTTTACCGGAAAAATAATATTTTTCATTATAATGTTCCTCTTTATCAAATTGACCATCATCATACTAAGGCCTTTGGAATAAAACTATATAATCTAATTTAAAGCCCGCTTAATCAAGACTAACAATACGTTTTTCAAATGAAACCTATCACGGATACTCATAAGAGGGAGAGTTCCTCATGAAAAACAAGCTCTTCTTTGAATGTTCTACAATTCTGGCAGGTGGCAGCAAGCTCCCCAGGCATGAGGTAGATTTCAGTAATACAATCTCGTTCATAGAGGCGAGCGCAACACCTGGCAGACAGGCAGGTGATGTACCTGCGCCGACCGCTTGATTAGCTCCACAGAAATTGGCCGAGTTACCTGCTGCAAACGATACTACGCCAGTGCTGCTCGAGAGTCGGTGGGGTGTGTACGTGCGATGCTCACGCTCGGTGACGCACTCGGGGCCGGTGGAGTTGTGGAATATTGAACACATTTTCTTGCGAAACAATTGATATAATATTCGATAATAATTATTTCCCACTTCTACTCAGCCATTAGTTATTTTTCACTGATGAACGATGTTAGTATAATTTGATGCAAACCATGAATGAATGGTCAGACTTTGTCACAATGACTCATCTGATGAGTATCGTGCGGTGGTGTGCAAGTGGAACGATGATAATGATTAGGAATTGCGGTAATAAAAATGTCAAATTTCACAAACATTATCATATTTTTTTGATAATCTTCAGCTTAATTTTTGCAGGTAGCAAGATGCATTGTTCATACAAATTTAGCAGGATATTTTTAAGCAACAGATAACATCTAAGCTATTTATTAATTTTGTTCTAATTATTATGATTTTTAAAAATTCCGAAAATTATTCCGAAAAAGATGTGGGCAGCCGACTTCTTATGACTCATCGGCCAACTGTTGTTGTACAGAAGTCAACCCTCCCCCGTACAAAAACAATACAATATTCATAAATAGTACATTTTGTTAGAATAGAATAGAATAGAATAGAAGTGTCGGCACTGAAGAAATAGGCCCATGGCCTTTTGTTGTGCCTGAACGCTAACAAAATGTCTAAAATTCGTTGAAAAATCGTTTGAAGTTCTTAGCCTTTATGTTCATGAATAATTATTGTATAAATACATATTAAAGCCTGGCGACTATAATAAAGAGGTAAATCATGCGGGTCAATAATTCTCACCACTGCATGTGAAGTTAGTTACCATAACAAAGATGATTAAACTGTACCTGCTTCATTATGTTCACAAAATCAATTACAATTGTTGAGAAAAACGTATTTCAATAAAATAATTATTGCCGCAGATTGTCCCTACACTATTGTCCCTGATGATGAAATGAATATATACGTTTAAGTTCATATTTTGGTTTAGGACAACTTTTCAAAGTACTACGTTGGCTCGATTATCTCACGATTACTGACATTGTAAAATGATGTGGCCTGATAAAATTAAGATCATAGACACAGACGCCGCAATTTTTATCCAATCAATAACGAATAACTTTCACTTCCGGGCGAAACTTAGAGACTGCAGCTGTTATTTCGGCTGCGTGATTGGCCATTCGGCAATGACCAGCGCAATTAATCCCGCCAATTGGGGGGCGAGTCACGCTCGTAATTGGCTGGGTGGTTGGTGGCGTAATAGACCCGTGACGGTGAAAGTTGTTCATGATAAATCCAACCCAACTTAATAGTATCGAACTGACAGACCAATTAGCGAATGCATTAAACTCAATTGGCAAATTACTCCACATATGATTAGATTCTAGGTTTCCAGGCTTAATTTCATCCACACTATATTATTAACTTGTTTAAAAATAAGAAAATATTTGCTCATATCCTAACTGTAATACTTTTTTTCAGACAAAAATAACATTTGGGCGAGTTGTAGGAAAACTGGAGGAGGTCCACGATGGTCTTGCGTTCACGTGAGAAGTTACTGAGTTTGTGGTGATGTGTTCGTGCATGTGGTCAGGCATGGTAGGCGTGGTGAGAGAGGTGATATGGGGTCTAACAGCCCTGGTGCAGCCCGCAGCCCACGTGGTGCTGGTGGGCTTGGAAGGGGCTGGCAAGACCACAGCGTTGTTGCGGTTACGGTACAGTCAGTACGTCGAGGCATCGCCTACAGTCGCATTCAACACGGAAAAAGTTCGTGTCGGCGGCGGGTCTTGGCTCATTTGGGACGTTGGTGGAGCTGAAAGACTGCGACCTCTGTGGCGGCCCTACACCAGAGCCTGTGATGCTCTCATATTCGTGGTCGACAGCTGCTCCGACGCTGAGCGACTGGAGGAAGCTCGGCTCGAGCTACACCGGCTCGTCAAGCAGCAGGCCAATCAGTGCACGACGTTGCATAGGCCTAAGCCTCCCATCCTCGTTATTGCCAACAAGCAAGACTTGCCGGGATCCAGACTGCCTAATTTCCTGTCTGTTGCACTCGGGCTGCCAGATTTGCCAGAGTCTCAGCCGTGGGCAATTGCACCGGCCTGCTCCGTCACGGGAGAAGGGCTGGAGGAGGCCATGAGCGTCCTGCATCATCTCGTCACGAAGGTTAGGAGGGCACCACCACCCTCCAGCCTGCCTGCGCCTCCTCTCAAGCCGTCCAGTTGAAGTAGTGACTTATCTTACAAAAAGAAAAAACAATAAAAACAGATCAATCAACTAAAGAATTTCTTTTCTAAATCGGCATTAAAGAAATAACATTGCAACGGCGTAGAGCGCTACAACTACAGTCTCTAAAATGATTGAGGTTTACCAGTGATTTTAAATAGAATTGTTGTGCTCTGATCAGATCGAGCTCGGTCAAAACATGGTACAAGTTCATCAAAAATGATACTGATTGTTCTTCAATGATTTCAGTTCGTGCCTAATAAATGCTGACAGCCTTCATTGAAATAAGGTATTCGGATCATCTTCAGATATGAATTTATCGTGTAAAATATGTGTGATCATTCTAAAATATTATGCTAAAGTGACGTTTCCCTTTGAAAGAAACGTCAACTATAAAGCTGCAACCAAATTTATTGATGCTCTTACTCAACATCCGTTTTTTATCTGGAAACATCAAACTTTTGCTCAGCATCACATTACTCAACATCGGAAATTTACTCAAAAATGTTTGATTTCACTAATATGTACTCAGCATTGCATGACGCATCATCAAACAATTTCTCATTATCGCATCGCTGGACAGAAATAGTTTACTCAAAATTACTCCACTCGCAGTATCAATATGTACTCACAATCACTCGACTTATAATCTAATATTTCCTCAGTGGTATGGCGTCAAATGTGGTCTGCGAACTTCAGTAACTATAAATTTAACTGCACTATAGTGGTCTGTCACCACTATAGGGAAGCAGACTGTACTGATATTCATTAGTATTCCAGTGTAAGTGGCCAGTGATATACTCAGGGAGGAGTTCTATTTAACATCTAGAATTCTAGATGGTGAATAAATAAATATCAAGTTCCAGCCAGTTTCAGTGAGTGACATTACTAGGTTATCTGCAGAAGCATATGTTCAAAAATAGAATAGACAGAAAATAAGATCTAAAGAATGGAAGTAAATAACAACTGTGCACAGGCTGGTGGAATACGGGGATACCCAAATCGGAATCAAAGTTTTGCTTGAATCCAGCCAAGCCACGCCTATTATATTCTGCTGCCTACTGAAGATGGATTGCGGGAAGATGTCCTCCACCAGCACGGTAGAAGGGTTTTCAACAAGGATCATGAACCATTAATCATAAGTTTTTATTACTGTTATTATGTAACAATGTAAACTGTGCATTACGGTCTTCAACTATCAATAGGGTTATGCAGTCCAGCCTGTAAACACACATCTTGTACCATTAAGTTCCCCAATGTTTGATTCGAGACGAGTTCAGTAAAATTATCTTTCGATGCTGGTGTGCAACTCGGATTAAATTCGTGCTTCGTGGCACATTATTAATGCATTATCAGCGTACTGGAATACTAGATTACTTTCTTAATCGTTTATCGAGTGTTTAATACAGGTGATAGTCTCATGAAACTTACGCATTCTTTTCTATGCCCTCATTTTTAAACGCTTCTTTCTTCCATTGAGCCCTAAAATGGCAGTCCCTCATTCCATATAAAATTTGTATCATGTCCATTCACCTTCTTTGATCATCCTGTGCACTTAGTGCATCATACTTGAATAAATGGTGAAAAATTTCTGATCACCCTCTCCGTAGTTCTAAAACAAACTGTGCATTATGATTGATGACTGAACTCAACTATATTTCATCTGTTTTTTTCTGACTGAGAAAGCAAGATACTCTTTCTCTGCCTAATTAGCTTCCTAAGCTTTAAAGCTACAGCTGAGAATTTCCATGCAAAAAATTAACGAAGATGTGAGCCGCTGGCGTCGGGGCCAGACGTACGTGCAGTGAGCGTCGTCTGCACATCTCTGCCGGGTTGGTCGCTAGCGTCATGAGAGTTTCCCACGCTTGCTCTGATGCTTCCCCTGCTGCTTTTGCTGCCATCTTGTGTTATTCATTGTGTGATACTTCTCTGGCTATTGATTTATTTTCTCTTACGATACAAGCATGTTCTTAATTAGGATGCTTTCCTCAATAAGTTGTCGTTGTTCCTTCCAAAGATCGCTATCTTTTATTGTCGAAAATGTTTCCACTGAGGAAGAAATAAAAGCGTGAGAATGTTTTGAATTGCAAGTTCCAATAGAGTCAAAAATCTATTTGGAAACGAAAAGAATACAATTGCAAAGTTGTAGTAAAGGCATTCGATGATTACAAGAGTTCTGAATTTTTAAATACAGTATGTTACTGTGGATCTATAGACTTCCGCGTCTGCCCAGAAATCGAATGCGTAGGCGATAAATGAATGTTCTGCATTAAATTTAAAAAATCGAATTTTTGGACTATACTTTAGAGGTGACGCAGTAGATCGATCTTGTTTTCTCACTGGAAGGCAGCAAGTGCCTGATAGACCACAAGCTCATCAGCCACGGGTATTGGAGAGCCGTGAGGCGCACGCACAGCAACGGCCACTTCTTTTCAAAGGCAATCATGCGCGCAGTGCACAGCCTGGGCTGTGCCTTTGGTCGCGTTACGTGGATGCGCTCAGCGTCGGCTGTGGCTTAAACGATTAAGGCGGTGGCGGGCTATTCCTGTAAACGACGTGCTAGTGAAATTCCTGTCAGCTACGTACCCGTGAGATTCCTGTCAGCTACTTACCCGTGAGATTCCTGTCAGCTACATACCCGTGAGATTCCTGTCAGCTACTTACCCGTAAGATTCCTGTCAGCTACGTACCCGTGAGATTCCTGTCAGCTACGTAACCGTGAAATTCCTGTGGGTGACGTACCCCTAAAATTCTTGTGAGCGTTCCTTCACACTAAGCGCTTGAATGTGTAAACCCACTCATTTACATTTGTTTCGAAATGCTCAAAATCGAAATTAGTGTATAAACCACGAAACTTTCTTTTTTTTGCGAGATATATCACATGAATACTGGGCCGTTGTTTGGTTCTGCGTGTTAGGTTGTAATTCAGAGACTTTATTATGCCCACACCGAGACCTGTATAAATTTTTAGAGTGGTAAGGTTCGTGCAGAAGAATTCCTTGTCATCTAGGCGTGACAAACCTAAAAAGCGGGAAATCTTTCCCATGGTCCTGGCATTTTTCGAGTCAAAGGCAGCGCATTTTCCCACAAAGGCCGTAATAGGATACCCGCTTCATGGTCCATTTATAACTCGCAAATGGCGATGTGCGGTGAGCCTTTCTATTTTACCGGCATTGGAGGCAACGGTGCAAGTTCCATCGATTGCCGATTGATTGAGGATTCTTGTCGCTGCCAAATATTTCACATGACTGTGTGATGGAAACTTTTCTTGTATTAATTTCGTTTGGAATTCATGTTACCAGCTTTGAGAATAATGTATATCGAAAAATGTCTGGAATACATTGAAAATGGTTGCGAAAAATTAAATTGTAGGTCACGGAAATTATTTTGTAATGTTAATTCTTTCTAATAATTTCGACAAACTTATTAAGCCAATTTCGCTAACATAACATAAGTCCATTTTTCTATTTCTTCAGCTTCTCAGACAATTTTGTACGTCCCAAAAGCTACATTGTTCGATATATTTGACACAAGAACATACAGTCGATGACTGTACGTATTCTGCGAACAATGGGGAACAAACAGGTCGATAAGGGACCAAACAGGCAATGAGTTAGTAAAAATACTCCAATTGTTCCGGTCAGGATAAGGCGCTTGATAGATGATCTCAGCCCGAGAGGGTGCATGCTCTTCTTTTGTAATGTTCAACAACACCTAATTCTGCCCGAGGCACTGAACTCTCTGCACCTTTCAGTAGTTACAATAATTTCTTTACGCGTATGATTTTTTTTACCTATCTGCAGATATTTTAGCCCGAGGTTTCTTTTGTGTAAATCTAGATAAATTTTGGAAGTAGTTATTGTTTGAGTTTACGCGTAGGATCTTATAAACGCTTGCAGTAGTGCATGCACATTGCTTGCAGTGAGCCCACATAAAGCGGAAGTTCAGTCATTCTAGGATAAAAAGATAAGTTCGCGCAATGATGGCTGCCCTACACGTCAGGTTGCGGAGTGCCTGCTGAGAACCGTCGTCCCGCCAGCCGCGTGAGAGCCGCGCTCTGCGTGAGAACAACGCACAGCGACAACAACGCGTCTCTGGCACAGAGTTCAAATAAGGATAATTGATGCGGCGAAGGAATACTGAAGCAACGAGCGAACAGCATGACTTTAACATGGAAAGCGGCCTGGAATGAAAAGCCGAAAACATTTCGAAAAGTTAATTATTCTGTATGTAGTGTGAAAGCCATCTTAGATTGTAATATATTCAGGGCCTGAAAATTCAGTAGGAAGAGTTTTGCTGACCTTTTCTGACCCATTCAGAGTGTGGGTAGGCATCACAAAGAAGCGGGCATTGAGCTAAAGTATAACACTGGGAACAATATTACCTTTTCGATCGCGCGCCACAAAGAAACAAAGCCAAGTAATGCCAAGGTACTCAACTGGAAACTGCCCAGAGATGCGCCACGAATAATCACACAACCGCCTAGTAGGATACCATGGGTCGTAAAAGTCGTGCTCCTTTTACTTCAGCTACTTCAGCGAGGTTCAGATTTACTTTCCGAACGTAACATCATCTACTCTTACGAAGCGTGAGGAAGTTTTCTTGCTGGCTAATAATTGTTCCACAATACATTCGGATCATTGATTGTCTACTAAACCGCACTCGTGATGTCGAAATTCGACCAGATCAAGCTTTCTCCGTTAAAACGCATACATTTAAATTGCTTTTGCATTAGCTAAGATTTGTATTAAATGGAGATTTGAATGATAGTGTCCTGATATCTTACTGAATCCATGTATCGAGAAGGTACTGGGCTTGGTAGATAGGCAGACCTTCACAGACCGAGGTCGCCATTTTTACCTGATCGTGCCAACGCCCTTCATTGTCTAAAGCTTCGTTAGTGACAGCCTTCTCACTCCTTCAATTCAACCGCTTCCGGAAATCTCTATAGGCATAAATCATGATAAATTTCACTGTGAATCCGTTATTCACGTTGGGAACCTTTTTACCATTACGTTTCATATTTCTTGTCTTGGCTATCCTCATTCTGCGAGGAAAGGCGGAGTTATGCAATGGTTCATTCCTGAGCCTATCATGAGTTGAATCAAGCGATAGTATTTACCCCATGCTGAAATAAAGTAATTTCACCCAAAGTACGTGCACCGGCGGTTCCCATTGCAAACTATATAGTAGAAAATTCCCCATGCATTACGCCACGAATGAATTACGCAAAATGAATCTTACGCTCCTAACTTTAGTGTTATAGACTCTAAAAGGTTAAGAAACTCAAGCTCTGTCTCACTCGTATCCCTGCTTCTTGTGCCGTCAGTTATCAGAAGCAGGAAGCGCTCAGCTGCGCAGCATCCTGTCTCCCTCGTCCGCCTTCATCCTCACGCAACCACAATTTTGATCTTTTTTTTTTCATTGCAAACGAAGCATGAACCATCTGATCAATAATGAAATTTCCCAATGAAATCATTTGACCTGAAGCGCTGACGTCGGAGCACAGTCGCTAAAGTTGTTCGCCGGATAGTGACTCTCAATAGCTGGAATTTGCTCCTCAAAGCGTTTCAAGAGGATATATCATTTACTTGGAATAAGGGTACGGGTCTTAGTATATCGTTGCTTTTGTATTCCTGTTATATGTTGGTCTGAAATTTTCTTTTCCTATTTGTTTGAAAATAAATATGACGGTACGGTTGATTTTTCTACTGCTCCAAAACTTTTCATTTTATTTGAGTTATTTGTATGATTAAATTTAGTTAGCATTTCTGTTTGCATTAGGAGTAGGCCTAATATTCTGTACTACACGCCTGACTTCTGCCTGATCCCACCGGCTTAGTGCTGCGCTCAGCTCTGAATAAATCAATGCTGTAAAGCACAGTAATTTAGAAGCCTTTTAGTCATGACGCCGGAGTCGCTTCAAAAGCTCCGTGGTACGCCTGATCTTGATTTGCGATCAACGTTGTGTGTTTTTCAATTCACAACACAGCCTTCTTGTACACCAACCGTGTGATCAGTCTCTGGCTAGTTCGTCTGATTAGGACTGGCCCTTGGTTCAATATTTTATGACTCACATCCGATGTCAGAGTGGATATCCCATTAGGCCGTATGATTCAAGCGTTCTGAATAATTTGTAACACGTAGGCAAACTCGCTATTTTTCATGCAAACATTTATCATAATATGGCCGTAAATAAAATCATAATATGACCGTTCACCCGGATCACATTTTTCACCCAGCCCATTCGATCACGCTCAAATCTACTCAAACAGTTAGAACTTGCCAATATTTTTAAGAATTTCGGAAGAAAAATTATGATCGGCAGAGTAGAGAGAGACGTACAACAACGCTCTATGTATTCATCATACAGTCATTCTTTATATTATTAAAAGACTAGCTACTCACGCAAAAGGTGTAAATACTTAGCCAAGACACATAATGCATAATAAAAGCAAACGTACAACTTTTTCTGTCAAAAAGTTTTCCATATTGAAAACCTGTCCACAGCTGCCACAACTTCGCTAACACCTGTGCCGCAGCGCCTGTCGTACAAGCCAGTTCTGCCTCTAATTACTCTATTCAGAGTGGTAGTTAGCTCACGTACGTTGCAACGGTATTCCTGATACCAGCGAAGAACTTGAGCTCAGTTGAGTTTGCGTTCAGTTAAACCCAATTAAGTTGTGTTCAGTTTGCTCATAAAGTAAATTATTTCTGATGTATTGGCTCTTTAATATCATTATTGTTATTCATGCCTGAATTGCGCAACATTTTATTGCCAATAGGGAACAAATTTGATGACGAGGCTGCGAACACTTGTCACCATCTGCATCCGCTGTTCATTTTGCACCTGTGCAGCGGGGGAACTACCAGCCAGCCCTTGGCGTGATCAGAAATTAAGGGACCTGTCAGTGCTATTTAATGAAAGAAACAACATATGTTCCAGATTTATCATTGAGAATTTAATTCCGTACTCTTTGTGTAGATGTGAGTTAAAATGCAATAGAAAGATTCAACACAGTGAAGCGTTAGCTTTTGTCTATATATACTATAGTCATCAAAATTCAACGGTATCACTATTACCACTCGTTCTTTATTTCCCAGCCGTGTGTGCAACCACACAAAAAGATTTTCTACCTATGTCATTTCCCATTATTTATTCTGTACCGATTGTTATTCAACTCGAGGTTTTGTGTATTTGGTTAAGAGCTTTAATTAGTATAAGTAACAAAGAACTTCCTGCCAAAGAGCTGCATTGCAACAACGCAGTTTTGCCGTGAATTTTTTTTTATGTTCTCAGGTTGCATTTTATGTTCTATATTTAAACTTTCTCTGTATATCTTACTTCAATTTACCAAAACAACATGGTAATAATTTTTACTTTAAATTCAGTTACTTCAATGTCAGTTTACAGAGTTTAAATTTCAACGCCTTGAGCATTACAGAGGCGTTTTCATTCATCATCAGAAACCCATAGCTTTATTTCTGTCGTAAGTTAAGTATTTTTTTAACCGGTTTCACCGATATCTACAATGCAATTTGCAAATGTGGCTTTCTTCCAAGAAAATCATAAACAGATCAGCAACTCAAATTTACTTCGTTTTACTAGAATGAGTTGGATTCATATTTCAAATAAATTACAGATAGTATTGGTTGGTATGCCGGTGTTGAAGAGGAGACATTTCGTGAAGTGATTGCAGTTTATGCCGTCATCATGTTTCGCACATTCTTAATCCTAAGAGTAAGCAAGATGAGAACTTTTCAAGTAATAAAAATTTTTTCTTGAGCAGTCAGTCCTTTGTTTATGAACTGTATATAGATGCATTTTCATAAGATTATTGAAATATTTGTACAGCATTTGAAAAGCTCCTATATGGAGACTGGCAATGCATTGGTAGCACGGATGTTTAGCACTTTTGAATATCCATAGTACGACTGAGCTTAAGATATTTTTTAAGGTGACATCAGGATACATTGAACATATACTAATCTGTAAATAAAATGTTGATTGTTTGTAAATTCTTATTATTTAATTTATTTTATTAAGTTTGGTGACTTTTCTTTTGAAAGATCTGATGTACATAACTGGTGGGTTGGAAATTCATCGATGTCTGGGATCGTGACCTGCCGGACAAACGAATTACTCTTTATTAGTATCGTAAGGAGTGAGGAATTTATTGTCATAAAATTGTGTTCATTCAATTATCAAAAAATACAATTGAAATCAGGCACTAAGTAACTCATGTTATTTAAAATTTTAATAAATTTTGTGTTTTTCTTCACATGTTTAGTTTTGTTGATGGTTATAACGAATTTAAATTGATTGTGAACGCTCCAGGCTCTCTGGTAATGTAAAGGAATTCGAAGAAAAATGTTCAATTTTGAAACTAATTTTAGGGGATATTTGTTGTAAATATCGTCTCTATTTCTTTTCTACTTAACTAATATAAATAAGGAAAAAATATTTTCTTCTTGGCTCTGCGATGGGAAATTTTTTTGTTTTTATTCAAGACTTATTCCCCAGTGAAGTGTTTTTACAACAAAGAAATCTTTCAAATGATACTTGCAGTCACCGTCATCAGATGTGACTGGAAGACAAAGCTGTGCTCGAAGGGTAATTTCTGATTGATTTTCAGGGTATTTCTTCATGACTTGTAATGAAAACTATTCATACTAATTTTCATGTACTAGTTGAATATTATCATTAACAAATCAACAAATCTTGATCAACCTCTACTTGATATTAATAGATTTCTTATTATTCTTAACTCATGATTAAATAGAAGCCGATGATGAAATGGATGACGTGGTGTAACGGCTACCAGGCTGACGCATGCAACGGCCCTGAGGCGAGGCTCTTTGCTAGACCATTAATTAGCTTTGGAAAAGCTTTTCTTTATTTATGTTCGTGAAAATCAGCGAGTGAAGTCTTGTTGATGTCAATAGTTGTTCACTTAATTTCCAGAATACATCATCTATGAACGAAAAAATGCAAAATTTTACTCTCAAACAACTTAACTCTTGTGTGGCTCTGACCGATGCGACACCAATTGTTTCTGAACAATTTATACTCACTCTTAATACAAGTTTTTTTTTTCTGTCGGACAATATTGATTTCCACTGCCCCTCGATATTAAAATTTCCCTCAATATTTTTGAAATGTTTCCTGTGATTTCACTTATACTTAGGTGATTTAAAATATCACTAAATAAAAAATAGCCTTAAATTTTTCGAGCCTGAGTCGGCCTGGTAACGTTTAACTACGCTGCGTAGGCTGCGTATACGCGCCTCATCTCGAACTATTTTGTCCGCTCAAAACTGACCTCATGCAGCCAGCGGCAGCGACTCGGGCGACGACCGTCCGGCTCCCGCCCTGCCCCACTTGTATTCAAGAAAATACAGTTTAAAAAATTTCGGCTTGAATTCTCTGTGATTACGTCATATAAAATAAAATTAGAATAGTAATACGAAATAGTTGAGTATTTTTATATACAGGGAAAATTTACTGCTCGTTATTTTTTACAAAAAAAATCACTCAATGTCGGATTAACCGACGTTACACGGACATAAACCGTTTCTCGCCAACATGAATCGGAAATTAGCTGTATCAGAAAATTCTCTAATACCAAATATATTTCAAAACTAACCAAAAGGTAACTGAAGTTCAACAATATATTCAGTTATGATGTTCCAGATAACAACAAAATCTTTATCCTGATTCAATTTTGTGAAGAAATAGAGCGTGGGACCGGACGTGGCGTTGCGTTGCTGATCGCCCAGCGTGTGAGGATCTCAGGCATAGCTAGTGTCACCAAAGATAGTGTATAAAGGTCAGAAATGGTTGCTCCAGCTGGGCTTAGCTCCTGCCGCTGCCTTTCCGTCTCTCACAAATCGAATACTGTTCTATTTTTATTAATTGTCGTCGCTGAAGATATTAACTCAATGCACATTTTTCATTTCCATGCATTTGTTTGTTGCATTTCCGTTCCAGAAATTCACTCCTGCTTAAAATAACTATTCCACACAAAGAAAAATTCAAATCTCTCCATCAATAGCCAACGGCAAGAACCGTAATTAAATTTTTGCTTATATTGAATATAAATATATTTTTTATGCAACATGAAATGCCGTCTGTCTGTTTTTTGTTTTACTTTTGCCCCGAAGCAAAGGTTGCGAAGAGATGGGAGAGGCAGCGCGCTATGGGAGCCCTGGTTTAGGGTTGACTGTAACACCTGTATGATATTGTCGATAGCACCAGCTTTATTAGCACACATGCCTTCTGTACTGACACTTTGTAACGGTCAATTAATTACCACTAAACTGACGACAGTTTCATTTGTAAATGGTGTACTCATCTCTTTGCTAGTCGTCTGTCATGCGCACCACAGTATAAGAGATTACTTTAGTACGTATATTGAAATGATATTTTAGATCTATTTTGTCATGCAGGAGTTGCTCAGTAAAATCAATTTATCTTAGGCTGAGCTTGAAGAAATGATGTTATATTTAATATCCTTGGAATATTTTCGTTACCTCAATAAGCTATAATTTACGGATGATCACAGATTCACATATTGAGTTTACCTCTTGCAGAAAAAAATGTCTTAGAACTCTGAATATACTGTTTTATGAAATGTTAATTTAAAGATTCGAAGGCAATATTCATAAATTTTTTCCTGTTTCCTTTTTCTTACTCATTTTGGCCACGGAAACGAGACAGATTTGAGCGAATTGAATTAATTGCGATGAATTTATCAACCTTAGCTTTGAGAGACCGAACAGAATCATTCAGTCATTCTACGACACGCATATTGTGTTCATGTCTTTTTGTGTTCATTGTGTATTGTTATTTGTGTATTGTTATTTTTCGACGTCCATTTCGTGTTGCAAAGCCTCAATGAATGTTATCAGCGCATCCCTATAGTATTCCCGATTCTTTTCTATAGTAAGATAAGCAAATTTGTGGAACAATGGAACACTAAGTTCCATTGTATAGCATGTGAATATATGAACAGAAGTAATCTTTAATCATTTACTCATCGAATTCAAGGAAGAACTTGCTGAATATTATATTTACCATTCCTCATTTTTTAGAAATAATCCCAGAAGTATCCTACTCATTGAAATTTCAAGTCGTCTTCACTCCTGTACATGGCTTTCGTCCTGAGATAACTTATCGGAGAAAACTAACTGCCGGAAGGAAATTAAGTTATTAACTTACTTGGAATATATCTCGTACCAGCATTTAGAATGTATTTAATGAATTTCCTTTTTATCCCAACTAGCTATCATTTACACGTGATGGTCGATGCCGATATTCTAATATGTTATGCAGAGCAATGGAAGATCAACAGCATTGCAGAGTACCGAATTCATTTAATGTATTTCTTGTTGTACAGATAACTGTTTATTATCCCGTATCCAATCATGCTTCGTCATGCACTTAAGTACATAACTTAGTTGTTGTTGCTTTTATTTATTTAACTGTGTAATTAGTGCTTGCACCCGAGGATTGTGATTTCGTCACGCTGAAAGTTTCGCCTTTTTTTGTAACTGAATTTTCATTGTCTACCCTAGTCGTGTTGATTTAGACGTAAAAGCCGTAGTAAAATAACTTAGCGACTTACATATGTAAATTATTATTTTCTTACATGTGTAAATAAATTTGGAAATGTGCATTTATTTTCATCACCTTATTATAGAATGAAGAAATGAAATGGAATAGTTGCTGAAATGCCTCGCATTGAGTTTTTTTGTTCATTGCTCTCTAATGGCAATATCAACGACGCACTTCACGGCAATCCAAAGTATTTGAAACTAATTCGATTTGATTAGATTTTGTTCGCATGCGATCTGTGAGTAGCTGAAATAAATCAGTAAATTCCAGTGTATGAAATAACTCATGAATGGCTATCGGGAACGTCCAAAATTTTGGGTCTTAAACACTGAAGAATATATAATATTACACTTACTTTCAATAAAAAATTACGTCAATGCCTAGCAAATGACTTTCAAGTCAAGTCCATGTAGGCACTCGAGTATTTTTCTGCGCTTGTGACCATTGATTTATAACTGAAGATGACAGCTTAATGATGGCAAGCGCCATTACAGTTACGCAAGGAATTTACGCTCCATGACTAAGATATATGCGCAACACGCATACGCACCTGCACAAGAAAGTGTTCGTGCTGTAAGTTGGTAGCATGCCGCATAATGAGTGCTGCATATCAGCTGCAGACCAGGGAAGCGATCCTGCACTATCGTCTTGCCATGAGAGTACAGGAGGCGGCTATTCTGGAAACATGAAGAAAACTACTGCTATAGTGAATCCTTCTGCTATAGTGAAGCTTTCTGCTATAGTGATACCTTCTGCTATAGTGAAACCGTCTGCTATAGTGATACCTTCTGGTATAGTAAAACCTACTGCTATAGTGAAAAATACTGCTATACGTGAAGCCTTCTGCTATAGTGAAGCCTTCTGCTATAGTGAAAACTACTGCTATAAGTGAAGCCTTCTGCTATAGTGAAGCCTTCTGCTGTAGTGAAGCCATCTGCTAAAGTGAAAGCTACTGCTATAGTGAATCCTTTTGTTATAGTGAATCCAAGGCAGATTCTCGAAAATGCTGATTCTGCGAGCTCTATATACTGTTAAAGTTGATTTGGAAATTATGAGTAAATTTGTCTATCATTCACCCCCGTTATAGAATTTGTTATTTAAGATAACTGTTTTACTTGAGGTACGATGAAAAACAGAATTAATGGTGATTTGATAACAAACTTGAGAAGTTTTGACATTTTTGAGTATCAAGGCTGCTGGTGTGGCGGCCGCTCGACAGAAACAATGTAGAACAATAAACGCCATCTTGGTCTGACATTTTAAGGAACAAATTACATTTGACTGCGTGTTCTAATTTCAGCTTGGAATTTCATAACAAAAATATATACAAATAAATCTAATTATTTAAAGAATACGAGCAGCGAGTATACTTTGGATGATACAAATTGTTTTTCAAATAAAATTTAAAAAAATGACACCAGTTTCACTTAACAAGAACAAATGGATGCCCAGGCGAATTCGAGCGCAGGTAAGAAAATTGTGCGTGCAAGACAAATTGATAAGTTGCGCTCACAAGGAAGAGGTACAAGACATGCCTAGAATACAGCCCGGGCGCCAGCATAACTGAAAATATTTTGTTTTCACTTAGAAATACACGAGAAGAAAAGTTCTACAACAATTTACATTTAAATCACAAGTCATTCTGAGAAATCATCTTTTTAAAATGAATTTCAAGTGACAATTATTTAGATTAACAGGATATTTTCTCCATTTTGGAAGCTATATTTTGAATAGGAATAAAATCCATGGCTTTGAATTGGATAGATCAAATATATACTCAAAACAATTAAATTTAAAGCAGTGGTCGGAACTTGGCCTAAAAAAAATTGTGAATAGAGATGAAAATGTCAATCTTCGATACGGTTACAAGAATTAAATATTGCATTGAGGCCTTCATCGGCGATCTTTTTTAGAATGTCATGCGTTACATGAATAAAAGCAACAAAACACATTTTCTGAAGGTGCCGGCGACGCTTGGATATGCGGCGAGTCTGCCACACTTGAACGCGTTAGTCACAGCGTCTGACACCGACAACATTACTGCCTGGCGACCACCTCACGACGGATAGTGTCGGTGATGGTACCAGCGTACTAGTCGGGGTACCAGTGTATCAGTCGGGGTACCAGTGTATCAGTCGGGGTACTTTCGTGCTGTCGTGGTACCTGCGTGCCCATGAAGGTGCCCACGCGTCCATGGTGGAACATTCGTGCTCAAGTTAGAATGTGCGTGCCAGTGATCAGACCTGTGTGCTCATATCGGTACCAGCGTAGATCTTGCGCATGTGGTGGATCCTTTACGATGGTGGTGGTTGCTGCGCGCCCGTAGTGGTGCCTACATGCCAGCGACATGTTATAGCATGACTGTGAGGGTTCATGCAATACCGAGAATATATATGCCCATCGGCATATATATGCCCATATACCATGCTATTAAGCTGATGCTATGTCTTTATATTGTCATTCTGCTTGATATTATCATCTCCATGCGGTAAATTTTAGTCAGTACATCTGTCAGAATAATTTGTCGACAGGTGTATTTTATTTATGTCGACAGACAGCATTTTATGGCACGTAAAAGAATTTTAATACGCCTCTCGGACGAAAGGTTTTATCATTCAATTCGTCGTTCCTCAAATGGCAGATAAATGAGAGTATTAAAGGCAATAATATCATAGGTAGTTTCCTTTATTCCAGTCTTTACCTTCAAAAATCTCCTAACTTCTAAAAGTACCTATCGAATGGAATATTTTCATTTGGATAATACATATTTTTAAGATCATGCGAGCAGTTTTTTGTGTCAAGTAAGCCAAGATCGGCAGCATTCATCTTCTGTTCGGAACAAATTTATAAGAGATTTTAGTTCTCAAGGCAGAATGCGTGTATAACACGAAATGAAATACTGAAGCAAAAATACGCGGCCAATTCTGGCTGCAACACAACAGTGAAACAAACATTCATATATAAAAAAGTATCGAATATTATTTAATGGATTGCGGTTTGTTAAGACATTTGATCCAAAAATGAGTATTGAGAAAATCGAGGATATGAGAAATGTTCTCTCGAGCGTATATAGAGCCATTTTCCATATCAGTATATTAGGGAATATATTTATATAAGTGCTATTATTGGTAGTCAAGAAACACCCCACGTGAAACAAAATAACTAAGTAGGCCTTTATAAAAACTGCCCATGCAATCATATGTAACAAGTGAAAGGTTAGTTCCAGAAAATTCAATCAGTACTACCAGGTGTATGACACATGCACGCTCCACGGCGCAGTGACCGTGACCATGGGCCGAGTCAGTCCATGTAACGCGCCTGTCACGAGCCTGACCGGCCGAGTGTCCCATGCCAGAGCCGAGAGAGACTTGGTCGTGAGACGTAAGTCCTTTCACCTACCCAAGACTAGCCCTAGTCTCACGGCTGGCTTGCAGCTTGTGGGACATGGTCATAAGGCTAAATTATATTCAAATACTCCAGATCAACCCATTGGGTGGATCTTTTAACTAAGTTTCCCCAGCTTCACGGCTAGCATGTACATACCTCTCATGTCAATAGGACTTCTCAACGATCGTAGTCCAGTTTGAGCAGAAAAATGTTTGCCGTATGTCAAAGAAGAGTTTCGGGTTGAAATCTAATTTGACGTAGATATGAGAAATGTTAAAGCTATTAGTCATAAAACACAAACACTAAGTTCTAACCTGAAGAAAGTTATAACGTTTTAACGAAAGTAAACATGTAATTCCAATTCGACTCGAAAATTCAGCCTCAAGAAGAACATTCGCCATAGATCTCATGTATTTGTCATGCAAATCAAGTCTCGGTAATTCGCCGCAAGATTCCACTTTGCGTATTTCTTTCTCTGCAAAACTGAAGCGAAAACTTTTCCTTGCCTTGACCCCGGGTTGGATGGTCTGACACACTGCGTGGGCTGATCACCAATTACGCCGAGTTACTCGCGCACGCCGAAGGCTGGTGAGCGCAACTGTGGTTAAACAGCGACGGGATTCTGCGGGACTCGGGACGATCGTGGAACAAGTGCCGTGTATTCATAGCAAATTAGTGGACATGGGAAAATAAAATATGAAAATGACATCCCCTGATGCTAATGGAATAAATTTTGACAAGTTTCGGGTACGATTGAATTCACCCAGGGTGGCAATGTCAGCACATGAATTAAAATTGGATAGGAAATTAAATAAGTCCATAAATAATGGTCGGTTGGAGATTATAGGGCCTACCGGTGAACTATTTAGAGACAAATAAATTTTAAGATGGACAGAACAGTGGTCAGATATTATCAAAGGTTCACTTATTATTGGCCTACAGTAGTTGAGAACTAACAAATTTAGACAACTTTGAAATCTTAGATATTATTCAACAGTGTTATAAAACTCACTCAATTTGCGGGCACAAGGGAAACTGAGTATGCATGAGCGAGAGCGATTTACGAAACTCCCTCCCATCCTTCATATTATATTCCACCCAGTGAAACGCTTGGCAGGTCTGTGAGACTGTGTCAGGGTGTTTGAATTTTACTTGAGATATTTGAGGATTCCCTGTTTACATGAGTTCAAAATACAATCTGTTGTTATCATCTATCATGTTGCTATTGATTCTGCCTGATCGCAAAGAAAATTTGCCAGACGTGAGACGTCCATGAAATTTACAAGCAATCACGCATAAAAATGAACACATTTAATCTTAGACTTTATGTCTTGGTTTAAGATGTCTCATTTATGCACCTTGAACACAAGAGTCGTGCATGCGAGAGATGAGGAAGCCACGAGAGCGACAGTCATTACGAACGTCGTGGTTCAGAGATCATCGTTCAATAAACGTAAATCTGAAGGACGCTCCTCGTGATAAAGCTGATTACTGCCAACGAAGAACCGTCAGCAAGAAAACCACACCTCGCCATCAAGGAAGTGTTCGAAGCCACGCATCCCGATGCTAATTGGGCAGCTCAGGTGGAGGATAAAGAAGGTTTGAGCTGAAACAATTACGCTTCTGTGTAATTTGTTGACATGATGGGGGGCATGCACTCATAGGGTGGTTA